TAAATCTAGCCATTGGAGAAAAAAGACTTCATGAAGAGATAAAAATGAACTACCAGTTACTTGGAAATATGATACCAACATAAAATAAAGACTAAGGAAAACTATGGATACTGAAAAAATGGTTTGTACTACATTTTATAAGGGTTTTGATTTTTAAAAAAGCAGTTTCCTCTGTGTTATTGGCTATAAGTAAAACAAAAAAATATGTATAAGCAGAAAACAGAATGGAAACCATGATCTACAACAAGAAGGTTCAGTGCATATCCTTGATATAAAAACCAGAGCTCAAGTACACATCTGTAATGCTTGCATTTTCAACCACTAAAGATACCTTTTATATCTGTAGGCTAACTGTAGGCTTATAAACCACATACACACACACTCTGAATATTTAAACATTTAAACAACACAGTCTGTAAACAAAGTTGTTTTCTTACCACCAAATTTGTAATAGCAGAGTATTTAAGGACAAGAATAGAAGGTTAAGTATATCCCCAAATATGTCTGAAGTCAAAAGTTTGCATGAACTTCTATAGATACTGTCAATTGTTGATTTAAATGTTATTTAGGTTAATTGGAATCATCATATTGTTGCAAAATTAAAAGAACATTAAGAGTTGTTTCCATATCTAAATTAAAATTGCTAACCTACTATGAGTGTGATGTATAAAGTTAGAATTCAGTAAATATAGCGACTCATACCTTAAATTCTTCTAAGATTTTGTAATTTTTCCCATGATACTCGCAAAAGTTTTTCACTTCTTTGCACTCAGGGCAGCAGCCATTGTGTTCCACTTTAGTACACTTTGGGTGAATTTTAGGACATTCTGGCTGGTCACAAACAGGTCCATCCAGAGCACAGACACATGGACAGTTGGAATGCCCTGGGAAAAATCGTTCTCCCAACTTGTATACAAAACCGCTGTCATCCACACACCCTTTCCCTCGGTAGTCATCAAAGATTAGATTGTCATTACTGGAGTTCTGATCACTTTCATCAGCAGGATAGTCTTCATGACTGATGGCAGCAGAAGTAACTAATCCAGGGATGACCAACAGAAGTATGCAAGCTTCATGAATATGAAGAGCCATTCCCCTCCTCAAAGGCTTCTGAATGTGCTCCTAATATTAAATATACTCAGCTCCTTCCATGGGAAATACAAGAAGGGTAGGCTGAAAAAATATTTCAAAATAGTAGTTTTAAATACATAGATAAGACATATATTCATTTAAGCCCATATTCTTAATCTGTTTTTTGGGAACCTACTTGCAAGATACAAAGACCACAAATAGATTAATTTCATGCTACTACCTATACTTTATTGTGAAGTTCATGAGATTTGACCCTTGACAACATATGAAGTTATTTCATCTCAGAATCTTCAGTTTAAGTTTGTTTCAAAGTTTCAAAGAGCTGGATTTGTATAAATTCTGAGAGGTTTTCCTGAGTCTCAAAAGGTAGTTCACATGTAGTTCCAAGATCAAAAATATACAAGTTTACATTTTCTTTAAGCTGGACTAGTCAGTATTTGAGTATCTACATGTATATGTGTATATATACACATACTATGAGTACTGTAAATTAAACATATATGTTTATACTGTGAGTAAACTGAGTAAATATATATATATATACATACTATGGTATGTAAATCATATGTAAAAAATCTCAGGAGATCAAGAGAAAAATTATGATTCTAAAAGAAGAGAAGAAAACTAGAAATTAAATGTGAATTATAATTGAGATGAACTTATAAAATGGCACTTTTACTTGTTTATGTCCATAATTGGCGAATAATAGACCATGGTTTATTTTTACTTGTTTATGTCCATAATTGGTAAATAATAGACCATAAAACATGGTTTACTTATTTCAGTCCACAAAAATATTTTTTCTTAACTAAGTTTCAAATTTAAAATAGTACAAATATTCCACAGACAATAAAATAAATAAAAATTTAAATTATAAATAAGTGAGCTCCATATAGTGAAAAGGATTTGTTAAATAAATATATATTGTTGTCCATACTTAGGTTTTACATAGGAAGTAAGCTCCTAGTGGGCAGGAAAGATCTATCTGTGAATTTTTTTTTGATAGCAGCTAGAAGCTATCATGTGCATAATACTTTTATATATAATAAATATTATTCATACCAATTTGAAGATACACATATATATTGAAATATTTATATTTATGATATTTTTACAAAAACACCAGTGTAAAACTTCTCATCAGAATTTATTAAAACAGCAAAGAGCTGTTGCCACAAAAACTAAACCATATTGATTTGGTGGCACTGACTCCTATAAACTTCACTTAGAATTAGTGCTTGGTGTAAGTGTTGGTAGTAAGCTTTTATTTAAATGCTTAGAGTGACTGATTCATACAAAGGCTCTGGGAAAACTGACTTTAGGGAGGAATATATAAGAAAAATGCTGCCAAATAGTTCATTTGTCTAAATGGTATTGGCTTTATGACAATATCACTAGAATTATATATAGGGCTTTTCAGGTTATTTATAAATTATAACCATTGGTTCATTTTCAGAGTATAAAGTTAATAATAAGCCATATTGTCAGTCTAATATGACAATTTTAAATAAAATTAAAATGGCAATAGGAAACTTCAAGAACTATCATATTTGCATTTTAAGTTAGATATGCAAATCCTAGCAATAGAAAAATGGAAGGTAATACATTTATACTTTCCTTCAAGGGAAAACTGATATCTGATATTAAGATGCTTTTTTGGGTGAATAAAGAAAAGGAGATGTGTTTTCTTTTAAACTATGTCAAAAATAATGAGTCATGACAGAACAAAAAATGCAAACCTATAATTCTACTTGAGAAGCTGGAAGCTCCCTTGATAAAGCATCTCTCCCTATATATTACTACAGAAGCCACAAACATAATAGAAGCTTCTTTAAAAGCATATATATTTCCAAAATTAAAGCACACACTTATAAATTTCATATTTAGAAAGTTTTGTCTCAGAAGAAAAAAGGATCTATTGTGCTTCCACATAGTATTCCAGTAGCATCTGTCAATACATGCAACATAAGCCAGATAAAACACACACATCATTCTGCTTCAAAAGGAAAGACAAAAATTATCTCTTTGAAAGCTACAGGTAGGCATTAATATGACAGGTAACAGTAAATGTAAACTTAAAGGTAAAAGAGTGGCTTGATATACACTTTATATACACATTAAGTGCTTTTGATATATGAAATACATTGTAAAATCTGCATAGAGGAAACAAGGTTTTCTTTTCAGTATAACAAAGTTCTTAGGCTATTTTAAAAAATATTTCACAATCTCATAATTTAACTACTCTATTGCAGTTTGACAATATGTAAGAGGAGAAAATTATAGAGTATCATCTGAAAATCTTAAATAAGTAACCAAACATTGTTAAACTGAGGATTACTTTTCAGCTAAACTTTAACCCCCCCAACCCCTTATAGCCACACATGATTTTAAATGACTGCACCTATTTTTTTGAGAAAACAAACACAACTCATGTCACAAGACACACTTACCTAATCACTCTGGAGGTTAATGGTGGTGGTGGGGGTCATATACCAGTATGAATCAAAAACCAGGTATTTTAAAGAAAATAGTTCCTTTTTAATTATCCAAAGAATACATTTTCAGGCATGAATTAAAGGTAATCCATTCTCTCTACCTCCCATTTCAAAACACAGTCAAGAAGCAGTCTCCCGCCCTTCCAGAGAGAAACACAGCAGATACATATAAGAAATAAGCTTTGGACCCGTCTTCAGAATTCAAAGCAAGAAGCAGTGCTGGTTCTGTAGAAATCCAAACCCCAGTAGAAGAATCATGTTGAACTTATTTTTACCATTCTCCAAGATCCTTTTATGAAATTTCCCAGCTGATTACGCCTCATCCACACATGAGTTCACTTACACAGTGTTTGCTACGGCAGTAGAGGTGATTTGGCTAGGCTCTGAGGATCACAAACAGCAAAAGCATGCTGTAGCTTAAAGCCCACTCCGTCGGCAGTACCATCAGCATCATCCACAGTATGTTGCTTGAGTCCCCTCTTACGCACCAGAATATACTAACTGTGGACGTGAAGGAAACGAACAACTTTAGCTGGGTTTCTGCATCAGTGAGAGCAGTTTGCAGACTGCTGATTTGGAGCTCATTCTGCCGGCAGCCGGGAATTCCTCAGCACCACGGACAGCGCCAACAACTGGCTTCTGAGCCCAGCCGTGTTGAAATCCCGGAGCTGCCGCTTTAGACCAGGCAGAGTGGTCTGTAAGCAGTAGCACTTTATACAGAGAAGCGTTAGGAGCGGGAAAGGCAATCTGCATGCAAGATACTTATTTGCATCGAAATTGCAAAAAAAAAAAAATTGTAATTATACCAAAGGCATTCTCAGATGGGTTGCAGAGATGAAAGTTCCAGAAGAGTCGAGTCTGTCATTTATATTTAAGCCACCTGCAGTCTCCTCTGATTATTATTAGTAGATTAAGAATAATTATAGTCAAATAATTTGTGGAAATGTAAGCTGCAATATATATCTTCCCCTTTGGGTAGAGAAAGACTTTCCCGATGCTACATCATTAAACTTCTGATTTTCCTGCAGCTTGGATTTGATATATTTTTTTTAAGTAGGCGGGTTCTCCTGCAGTTTGTTCTCTAACATTCAAAATCAATCTCTTGTAATTCATCTAGTCTGTCATTAGGCGTCATTGTAAAGCTGTTTCTTCCAAAGCCCTAGCAAAGATGCGCTCTCTAAATTCTTATCAAAATTAAAAAGAAAGAATGAAACCCCAGACACAAATAAATGAGCAGAAAGTTATTTTTATTGATGATAGTAGAAGAACTAAAACAGATGCTCAAAGCAGGTTTCAAAGCAAATTGTAAATGTTACTGTTGGCATATTTAACCAGATACTCACTGGTCTAGGACTACATAAAGCATTTTCAAGCCTTAAAAGGCATGTCTTCTGCAGTGGGATACGATGACCATCAAACCCACAATCGAACAGTACCGTCAGAGTCTCCGGAAAACATATTCTCTCCATCACGAGAAAACACGACTGTGTGAGCCTCACTTTCATGGCCCATCAATTTGTGAATTTCCCCTGATTTAAGATCCAGCAAATGGATAACCCCAGTGCTGCTTGCCTGAGCTAAAGCTTGACCTGGGGGGGGGGGGGGGGGGAGGGGAGGCGGGGAGGAGAGGACAGACGGACAGAGAGACAGAGAATGAATCAAAGTTTAATTTCAAGAACTTACAGCTTGTAAGTAATATAAATTCTACTTTGTTCAAATTGTGATTCAACAGACTGATTTTATGGTTGATATCAGTCATTAAATATGAATTTGTCTTTGAGTAAAAATTTAGAAACAATGAGTAAAATAATTTTAAATAAAGAGTGCAACCTAATATTTTACCTATACTACATGAAGAGCAAGCAAATGCTCTGATCATCTGTATATTGCAGATTAATAAACAATTTTGGAAAGAAAAATGAATGTAAGTGAATGATGCAGATTTTTTCAAGTAAGTTATATATGAAAATGTATTACAAAGTTTAGGTTTCAAAATTTAACACTAGCAAAAATTTTAAATATAGGTGTTATATGCATATATTATATATAGGATTAGTAATTTATACTTTAAAATTAATACTGAATTTTTAGCAATTATGCTAAATTACCAAGTAAAAATAATATACCTTTCAAGATGACCAAGGTATTTACATTCTAAAGTGCAAAATTTTGTTACAGTTTTTGTAACATTACAGACAAATTTAGCAGAATTTTCTCATAATTCTTATATTCTATAGCTTTGAGTGAACAGTTTCCTTAGTCAAACACAAATCAACAATCCCGTTCTAACCAAACTATGAGGGAATTTAGAATTTAGTGACAGCCTTAGAGCTTGAATATGTAAACATCGTGTGTAGGACAAATAAGTATGATATTAGTACTATCTCCAGGACTTTTATTTATGCCTAGAGTACATATAATCAATTTAATAATAAGATTTTAAATTATTTAAATTCAGCTCTTACATAATACATTTATTACTTTGTTGATAACTTGAAATAAATCTTACAATAATATAATGCTAAAGAATATGCCAACTCCATGTTCTTTAGACCAATCTCTGGAGATCAAGATTGAAAAGCTTAGAGTAATAAGTAACTTGCTCAAGATAGCACAATAGCCATGAAACGGGTTACCATTTAGTCATAGGTAATTTGAAACCAGAGCCTGAACTTTCAGATATTAAATTTCTCACAGTCTGCATAATATTGTTATCATTGATAACTTTGTGGTTGATGTTTAGCGCATGACATATTGTGAAAACAGTTTTTGCCCATTTGACAGTAAAATTTCTCTGATCATATCACTACAAAGTCACAGTGAAATATTTGGTTAGAAATTATATTTCAAATTGTCAATAATACTGTTAAAACCGAGTAAAGTTATAAAAGTTAAGCTAACCATGATAAATAGAGCCTATTTGCAAACCTTTATAACTACTGAGCTTCTTCATCTAGAACAAAGCCTGACACAGCAAAGATCTTTAGGATGGATTAGAGTGTCCGAAGCAGCAGATGTGAATATTTATTATAAAACCTCTTCTACCAAGTCTTTGCTGACAGAAGCATTACATATGGATTCCACTTCCAGTATCACTCCATAGACAATTACTGTTTGTGTCTTTCCTAAGAATCAAATATGAAACATGTATTCTTTATACAATACCTAGGAGAGAGTGAATAGTATTTCCTATTTTGGGAGCCAAACTAAATCAGTCTCATGAGCAAAATTTAACATTAACTTATCATTTTTGTTGAAGTGACGTCTTTACAAATGTTAATTGAAAATATTTATGAAGGCATTTGCAAATTTCTGAAAACTGCAATAAAATAGAGATCATAACACTGGAATCAATGATAGGATTATATCATTCAGCAGCATGCTGCCTAAGGTGCTTTAAAAATTTGCCTTTGCTAGAAGGAATTTGAGTCAGCAAGTTTCTAGTGAGTTTTTCAGGCATACTTAAACCCATTTTCAGAAGATTCAGAAGAAAGCTATGTATAAATTATATATATTAACAAATAAAATTTAACATATAAATTTTATATGTTATAAATTTACATTTTATAAATTTACATTTGTTTTTAGAATTAATGTATGTTGGATAATTGCATGCCATACAGCACAAGATCTAAATTTTACTTTTGCTGGGATTGAGATGTTGATGTCTTTCTAGATTAGAAAAACTCCAAAATTACTTTTCAGGATGTGTCAATTGCTATATTCATATCGAGTTGATGTATGAGGGAGATACACTCTCAGACAGAATCACAGTACAATTATGTGCAACATTTCTAGAAAGTAGAGAATTTATAGATACGTGGTAGGAATCTTTTCAAATATCCTGGTTATTGACAGTGAAATAATCCACAATATTCTCACTGTCAGTGACATAATGAAAAATAGATTTATATATACTAAAATTTGGTTAATAGAATAAAAATGTAGCAGAAATAAATTTTTAAATAGTACCATGAGAATTTATGTATAACCTTATGTATTAAATCTAAAAGCAAATATGCATCTTGAAAATGTAAAGCAAAAATGATCATTGTATTTCTACTTAAAATATTTTATTAAATATTGTAGAAACAAAATATAACCAAAATAATAATCTCACATTACATAATTCCTGACCAAAGATTGCATTCATCTGGGGAACATAAAGTGACAAAAGAGGAGACTAACACCCAAGAATAGCAGAGATAAGTAACAGGAGTTTACACCATGCTTGGAGGCCAGCTGCACATGCTAGGGGAAAAGGCAGCTCAGATAGAGAAGGGAGCAACAAATAAAGGTGTTGGGAGGATCCTCCCAGGATGGGAGATGCGTGCTGAGAGTACACTTTAGAACGAACATGATTGCCACTCAGTGCCTCTTTTGAAAACCACAGCACCCAAAAGGAGAGAAAGAACAAAGGGGGAATGCCCTGCCACAGAGGCAGGGTGGGATGGTGGGGGGACAGGGGTTAGGAGGGACACTGGGATCAGTGGTGGTAGAGAATGGACACTGGTAGAGGGAAGGGTATTTGATCATTGTATAACTGAAACTCAAGCACAAAAATTTGTAAATCTACAACTGTAGCTCATGGTGTTTCACTAATAAAAATCTAAAAAATAAATAAATAAATAAATAAAATGTTATTTAGTATAGTATTTTAATTGTAAATCAGAATTATGAATGCAAAATTCTACAAATGTATAATGGATTAAAAATATTTGACTGAATTTAATACTCACTAATTTAAAATTAACAACCAAAGTGATTTATTATGATATTTTTAAAAAAGAAATATAAATATTTGAAAATAAATGATATAAAAATGTCTTGCTTCTTTTTCTGGGTTAATATATGTTGTTTTGATGCTCGACTTTTCACAAGAAAATATATGTCCTCAGTAGAAGATTGACATCATTTTGTAATTATTATACTTTTACATGAATAAATCAGTATATATCAAAAGTGATTATCATGATCTCTTTATTCACACATCTATAAAAATTAATATTTTATAATTTTTTATAATAACAACCCGCCCCGAGTAGAGCTCTGGCAGCTGAAGACCTCGGAACCAGCCACAAACATGCTGAGACCACTCTCCACATGCATGAAGGTACCAGCAGAGGAACAAAGGCATGCGGGTCCTAGGGCTGAGATCTCCAGCCTGCTCAGATTGGGGCTGAGCATCCTCCACCCAGATCCTCCGTCCTCCAGTAGGCAGGGGTCACACCCACCAACTGACCCCCAGTGCCATGTAATCCCATCAACGGCCAAGACCCAGAGATTTTAAAACCCAGCTCCCGGAAGCATGTGGCTGCATTCGCTGCCATTAGACATCTTATTATATCATTCTTACTTTGGACAACCTGGCAGGCTACTGAATGTAACCTGCCCATATGGCAGAGTCTGGCAAACTCCCCGTGGCATATGTCAAAAATCAGTAACAATGATGAGTCTCATTCTCCTAACCCTGAAAGAGCCTTGAATGTGGTACTTTTTAGAATCTCAGGGCTAGGACGGAGGAGACGTTACTGGTGCCTGCTCGAGGCAATCAATGAACAACAGGATGATCATGATCATGATAAAAATTAATATTTATTCCTACCAAAACTTCAATGTATTTTCTTATTGGTTAAATCAGTATTTTTTTAGTTGGCCAATAGAATTTTAATGAAAATATTCTGCTGCTATGCACTTTACCCTATTAAATGGATATATTAACTTCTTTTAACTTAAAAAATAGGCACCCAGATTATATGTCCTTCACTCCTGGAAGGGAGCATAATGTGATGCTTGCCATAACCATGCTGCCGGACCCTACACCAGGCTATTTCACTGAGGGGAGGGCCACGGTGGGGGTGATGAGAGCCCTCCCCATCCCAAGGAACCCAGCCCCGGCAGCTGAAAACCTCCAAAACTCAACAACTGCCATGCTCATGGTTTCTCTCCACACGCTTGGGCTGATCCTCACCCACGAGTGAACCTTTTCATGGACCTTCATAGGATACCCCTACCCATACTCCATGGGTACTGCACCAGATTTGATGGGATTCGAAGTAAGAGGCAAACAACCTTAGAGGGAAATATTATATTATTTTGGTTCTGCTTTGGGGCAGGGACTGGGTTTGGGGATGGAAACACCTGAAATATGGTGGTGGGAAGGTGTAATGGTGCTGGGATCGGTGTTTGAAAATTAAATGGGATCAAATATTGTGACCTACTTTATAAAATTAAAAACATAAAAAATAGGCACCCAATTTTGCCTACTCTTAAAGTATTGTCTTTATATTAACTATGGCATTTTTCATTTTCATTTCATCATCCTGTTAATCGTCGATTGCCTCGAGCAGGCCCCAGTAACGTCTCTTTCATCCTAGCCCTGAGATTGTATTCACGGCTCTTTAGGAGAATGAGACCCATCATTGTTACTGGTATTTGGCATATTTGGTAGGCCACGGGGAGTTTGCCAGACTCTGCCCTGTGGGCAGGCTACATTCGATAGCCTGCAAGTTTGTCCAAAGTAGGAATGAGATAATAAGATGTCATAAAAAGATGTCCTGATAAGATGTTGCGCGGCCGCATTTGCGGC